CTCCCGGTAGCTTGGATTACAGGCGCGCGCCACCGCTCCCGACGAGGAGATCACACACTCACAGAGCTTTGAATGGGACTGACGTCACGTCATCAAGGAGCACTGCAGCACCTCCACCTGGAAGAAAACAACAGTTACTCAACACGTTTCTCCTGATCCTGCTGATGACGCTGTGGTAAAATTAGAGTAAGATTTTGAGTACAGACCAAAACTAAACATACTTCTGTGGAATATGTATAAAGTTGAGTGGACTAGATTTCAAACACAGGGCTTAAAGTATCGCATCAAGGTTTAACACGCATCAAGGAGGTTATAACCTGAGTTTGGGCCTGGCTGTGATGCAACATTGCTCCACATGGTAATAAACTGCTTGGAAAAGCATTGAAAAACCTCTAAATTGGCTCAAAGGTTTTCTGTGGAAATTGTGCTGTTTCAGAAAGTGTGAAAGACATTGCATGAGGTCGAAGTCATCGGATGGCGTACAATAAGACAACCGTTACTCACAAAACTGCAAGATGAATCTTTGTTGGAGGAGATGAAAAGAAATGTGATTAAGCATAATGAGGCAGGAGCCCTCCTGCAGCTGCCGCACGTTCGATTCCAACCCAACTCTTTGCTGGGTCCTGTCAATAAAGCCGAAATGCCTGGAAAAGAATATGATGAGTATTACTTGGTCTGATTAAACTAATATAAATTTGATTGGTTCAGTTGACGTAGACCAGACCAGGACAGTAATAGAGTTCATGTCAGCTCACAGTGAACTGCGGATGTGGGAGTGTTCTGACATGAAGCAGAAGATGTAGGAGAGACAACATCTATAAATAGCACTATAGGTTTTTGTTAGTATACTTGCATTGATTAAGTAATTGATAACCATGTATCCAAGTGCTGACCCTGAGGCTGTCTGATGTTGAAACACCCAAAAACACGATGAACCTAGAAAACATCACTGTAAATATATTTACATATATATTTATATTTACAGTGTTGACAAGATGATATGTGAGTGTAAATACACAAATACTGAATGACTCCCAGTCTCAAGATGCTTTATTTAATTAATTTATTAATGACACTGGTTAAAGTTAGTGATCCTCTGGATGGTAAAGTTCGCTCATCAGTCGGTAGATATAAGACGGTGCGTGTCCTCCGATGTTAGAGATGAACAGTGTGATGAGCTCAGGAGGGACGTAGTCAAACACGGGACAGTGCACGTTCACCTTTGAGAGAATGTCCCCTTAAAACACAAAAAGGACATTTAGGCTTTAATACTGCAACAGAGGAATGGTTGTTATGAAATGTGAACATCTGGGAGTGTGTTACCTTCAGTGAAAGGAAGCACCTCATGTGGAGAGACAAACTTATGGAAGGTGTCCTCTTCATTCGGGAACTGAGAAAAAAAAAAAAACCTTCTGTGATCATTTATTCTCAGTGGAAATTATTAAGAAACCGATTGAACAGGCTTGTCTTTGTACCTGAGGTGAGAGTTTGAACATGGGAGTACAAACGATCAGAGGCGTTGAATGGTGCTTGGCTGCCAGGGCCAGCGTGTGCGTCCCGTTGACGGCCCGGAGCCCCCCGTTAGCCAGAACCGTCTGCGTGCCTATGATGACCTGAAAAGATCGTCCCCACACAGGTTAACCCAGACGTTGTGACGTGACCATGTCAAAGCCTCCTGCGGCGTTCAATACCTTATTAACACGAGACATGACGGCGAATATGGCAGCATCTGCGATCACAGTCGTCTCAATGTCAGATTTGGAGAGGCTGGTGGCCATTTCATGCCCCTGGTGGACAAAATGACATCTTTTAAAGTTAGAAACAAAGTTCCTTGTTTTTCCTACATAATCATATATAGTGATTTTAAAATCCCCTCTCTCTTAAGCTACCTGGCAGAAGGGGGCACACTCTGCCACGATGACGTGAAACTTGCGTTTGCTTGCAGCGTCTTTGAGGAAGGCCTCCACGGTGCGCGAGCGGCCGATCGTCATGATGACCTCGTTGGAGTGGATGTGCTCCAGGGCCTGCATGGCAATGTTGTAAGTTGTTCCCTCTGGAAAATAAAAGTGGGAGTGAGTTTGTGACTTAATTCCAGATTAGGATTACTGAGCCTCCATAATTTGAATATTCACCACAGAGTACCAGCCATTCTCATCAGACTGCTAAATACATTCTACATTAAAACTACATATAGACTTAACTTGTGCTTAAGGAATGACTGTGCCCAGCTTGTTAAGAAAAACAACACACCTAGCTCAGTCAACAACTCATTTATGGCCTCGATGACGTTGGCTTTGAGGGTGGCAAAATGCTGCCTGAAGTTCTCCTCGCTGAGTCCACCTGTCGTCAGCAGCTTGTGAAGAGATTCCTGCTGGTCCGTCTCTTCACTGCTACCTCGAGATCTGACCAGACATAAATTGAGTCAAGCAATTTTAATAAAAAAACAACATTTATACTCGTTAGTTCAATGTGAACTTCTATACTTTTTACGGCAACGTTAAAAGAGGGAAGAGAACCTCTGTAAAACTTTAAATCATTTCATAACATTTGTCCACACAGTGTGAATGTGATCATAACCAATGACCTGGATCTACAAGCTTCTCCAGCTCAGTGAGTAGTTTCATTCACCTGGCATATTCCTCTCTGACGATCTTCAGCACTCGTCTGATCATGTTACCCACAGTGGTCTCTGAGGGCTGAGCCGCGGTCATTCTCCTCCCCTCCTTACGGATGATTTCCATCAGATCGCCTGCAAGACACAACATCTTAGACAGAACAAGATGGTAAAGATCCAGACGAATAAAACCCACAGTGGTGGACTTGTTGTCCTCCAGTTTGGAATGAAGGGTGAGGGGTTTTCTTCTTCTCTGAGAGTTTGTAATGTTTACTGGAGGTTTCCCACTTCAGACAGATGTGACAGCAGCAGATGTCGCTAGCCCCGCTGTGGTGTGTGTGGGTCGAGCACCATGACTTACCTGCGCTGCTCCACCGAGCCTGGGCTGTGATTCTGCGGAGCAGGGCTGTCGTCTCCCGGGCTGTCTCCGCCGAGCCCCGCTGGGGTCCGGTCCCGCTGCCTCCGCGCTTCAGGTCGGACAGAAACGCTTCGATTCTCTCCGTCAGGTCCGTTTCTTTGTCTGGACCCGGCATGGTTGGTTAGGAGAAGCGGACTTTCTGTCAGGAGGAAAACTCAAACAACCCGAGGTGTTTCCAACATGCTAGGTTAGGAAGCGGAAGTGCTTCCAGACTAGTTCCGGGTGAGTCTGACTGTGCTGTCATGTGATTGGTGGAGAGTACCCCGGAAATACTGCGTCAAACTTGAGCTCGAGGGAAATATTTGTACTTTTAAATACTTCTCTGGGTTTGTCTGGGGTCTGAGTTTCTACTGGAGAGCGAAGTTTTTTTACTCCATCACAATATCCAATAATCACGAGTTCAATCAATCATATTTATTGCTAAATTGCATATTCACAAATGTAAATTTACTGGTAAAATAAACTTGATATTTCTATTTATTTTATATATATGTGTATATAAATACACACACATACATATATATGTGTGCGTATTTAATTGCAGGAAATCATCCTCATCCTTTCAACTCAGTAAGTTTTTGTTTGACAGGCAGTTTGGGTAAATATCAGTGTTACGCTGTCACAATAAGGGCAAACCATATAAAGCATAAGAATTAACATATATGTATTGTGATAAGACATTGAACATGGGGTTTATTTATTTTAAAAATAGAATAAATGAAATGTCAGTTCGTCTTGTGTCACAATAACAGCTCACTCGCTGTGGGACGCACCTCTTGTTGCATTGGTGGGTTCGAGGTCACCGGAAGATGAAAATGTCTCTCTCTCTCTTCAGGGCAAGTTGATCACACATTATATATGTCAGTATTATAATAATGTAGAAAGTTAATTTATAGTTTGAAGATAAAAAGTTAAATCGGTCACTATTGTGCCCAGTGGAACAACTAAAGCTTTGTGTCATTTATGTATTTTAAAAAACAGAACATGTTGTAAATGATTCCAGTCTATTAACACATTAGTGATATGATGTGATGATAATACTTCCTCCTGAAGGAATTGGAGTGTGGCATTGTGTTATGATTAAAACTGTGAAAAACTTAATTAATCCAAAAGCAAAACTGCCTTTAAGAGATCAATCATAAGGAAGTTATGTTTTTTTGTTACACTTCAAAAACTTGAAATAAAATAAAAATAAATGTGTTTAATTGCACTGTAATTAATGTAAATTCATCCAATATTTTATTGAATAAAAGCCCAACATAAATTTACAAAATTTATCAGTTAACATAAAAATCATTTACTGCGCACAATGCGCATGTTCATCGTTAAAAATGTACCCATGTCTCAATTAATCTTTGTCAAACACAATCTGAATATTTGCAACAACCCTCATTCTCATGTAACCCAAGCCTCAAAAGGTATTTTTAACAAACAGAAGCACGCTGGATGGATATACTGTAATTTGGAAGTTATATTTAAAAATTCAATTTCACCAGTGTGTAAAGAAAAGAGGTGCATGACTGATTGGAAACTTTTGGAGAGCTTACTTTTCTTTTTCCAGTCAAAAGCTCCATTCACTGTGGTCTGGCAAAAAAAAAACATTTCACAAACATGGATTGCATCATGGAAATCAGGGGATGACAGTATGCTTCAAATTCCCTCCTGAAAATAAGGTTTTTGGTTTGTGGCTACTTTTGACTGGTGACAGATGAATGTTCAGATGTTCAAAAAAACAAATCTAGAACGTGCAAGAGCTAATAGAAGTGACCTAATTTATAACTAAGAGAATATTACTCTGACAGCGCACAACCCCCCAAAAAATATAGCTGTAGAAGCAACTAAGTAGCATTTACAATATGAAAACAAACTAAAGACACTGTTAAATTTAGCTACCAAACATGTATGCAAATTAAGTGACATAACACAGAAGTTCAGTGGTTGCCGAGTGAAGGTAACAACAGACCACATTTTTTTGAACAGCCTTCACTTGATCGAAAGGGCACCAAGGATCTTGTCTGCTTGGCATGGCAAAGAATGTGTACATCAACAGAAGGGCAAAAGACATTCGCTCATGGCACATCCATTCAAACTGAGCTGAAAATCAAACATCACTGTTCAACTGATTGGAGGAACAAGTTCTTATTCAGCAAGCCGCAACATTCAAAAACAGTGCAGACAGAAACGTGAAGTACCATGGGGACGGACACGCAATGACACGTGCCTCCCATGCCTCACAGTGCATTTCTCCCTACAGCGCTTTTCATGTTTAAAACCCCTAAATAAGCAGGTGAATCTTTTTTTTCTGAGGACAACCTTGGTACTCTCTCACAGATATGAAAACTAGAATTCGAGCCCCTCAACCCCACTTGCTGTTGTTTGCTGAAGCTAGTCCAAGGAGGGTGGATGTTGGGATGTGTTTGCTGACCAGTAGCTTCCCCGGAGGTAAGGAGCTAAAGTATAAGGGGCCGCTCTACTCGATCAGCTTCTTTGCCTTGAAGAAGCGCCGCAAGTAGAACACCTGCCATGTGGCCAGCCCAATGAGACAGCACATGGAGAATATGCTGAAGTACAGAACACGTGTGTTGGTGGACTCTGGAAAGTGGTGAAAAACAAAAGGGGTTTGTTATTGGTCAGTGAATGATAAATAAACTGAAGTTAGCATTTAGGGTCTGATTGATTTATGTGCTGTTTCAGCAAAATGACAACTTGTGTTTCTTCCTTACCATTGGTGTCCCTCATCTCCTCCTCTCTCTTCTTCATGTAAGCGAAGTCATTGACGATGGACTCTGACAAGTCCTCAAGTCGCCGCAGCTCAACCTCAAGAGGCTTCAGCTTCTCCACCTTGGCAATCTGGAGGAGAGAAAGAGAGGAAACTAATGAAGCCTTGAGAAGTCCAATACAGAAAGGGTAGAGCTACATTTTAAGCAGTGTTGTTATTGACTTTGTCCAGTAGATGTCACTCCAAGCTGTGTGAACACATCCTGTTTAAACCATCTGTGCCATTTACTCTGTTCACTCTGGCTGGTGAGAATGAGGCCATTTGCAGTCTGAAACAGCTGCAGCACCTGAGACGGTCAGCCTTCATCTTAAACAAACTGCTGTGGCTGATTTGTGATAGGAACACAAAATGGAGCCACCACAGGGTTATGTGTCTATATGTACATATTCCACTGCTGGAATTTAAACTACACTGCTGCTGTTTCAGCTCAATTTTAACAACAAATCCAATTACAAAAACAATCTATTAGATGAGGTTTCAAGATTTATCTATGGCAACCACTGCCCTTCATGTTGCAGGGCAAGATTCTTCCCTCCTTTCACTACATGCTGCTATTGTCATTTTATTGTCACTACAACAATTTCTGCACTTACTCTTTTGGTAAAACTTACTGTTGGCTACAAGAGTCAGCCCTGTGATCTATGAGGTGTTGATGATGTTGCCCACTGAGTAGTTTACATGTCTGTCCGTGTGACCCATGTTTACAACTTTCAGTTTGTTTGTACTAAGTCTTAGTGAACTGTAAATTGATGAAACCTACATAACAGTTTTTCTGTTTGGGACAGCTCGCATCCATTAAGTTCCCTTTCTAAAACCCTTTAATAGACACAAACTCATCAAAACGTATCTACTGAACAAATATTTCCCAAGGAAACACACCCGTCCACGTAGGTCAATCCATGTGCAAACTCAGCTCCACCCTCCTGCCTACAGACAGGCAAGCTCTCCCTGAACATCCACCTACACACACACACACTCAGCAGAACAGGACGTCATGCTCTGTGCAGCATGTGTGGGAGGAGGGGTGATTCTCAGCTCACAGGCTTCATCACTTCTATTCTCATTATAAGGTGTTGCCTGAGGAAGACAAGACCCATTCTCAGAAGATCTACTAATGACGCATAACAATGTGTCCCTGAGAACGGAAATATGAAGCACTTCCAACCCTGATTTCTATACTGGGACACGTTGACGTCACTGATGTGTTTTGGCCATACACACCTGGCAAAAGCACTAATACAGCAAAATACATCTGCACTGACAAGTACTGAATGTGGTATTAATGTAAGTAATGCACTGGAGCAGTAAATTCTTATTTACACAGCTCAACTTGATTTAGGCTGTGCAACAGTTACTGGAAAGGGGTTTGCATGTTCTCTTGCATCTGTAGAATCTTAGTAAGTTGTTTCTAAGACAGTGTGTTAAATGAAGGCCTTTACCCTGACATGGGATATGCTTGTACATTTAACCAAGTATGTCAGTCTGGTCTTCTTCAGAGTCCAAAACCAGCTTCTAAAAAGGAGACCTCTAACCCAAATTTTAGATTATAGTTTTAGGATTAAGGTTTTCTCGAACACTTTAACTAAGCTCAGGACTACTGACTGCCATTTTACACAAGAAGTAAAACTTCTACTGCGAGACCAGCATCCTTCATCAACTGACCTGGTCGGGTTGCAGACAAAAAGCTTCAGTTACCATTATTTGAAAAAAATGGTTAAACTTACCTCTTCATAGTTTTTGGCCTCCACACCATGCTTCATGTCAAGATTGACAAGCTGGTCAGGTACTCTTCCAGTTCCTGAGGAAAAAGAGCAAAGCTTTTAAAATCATATGTAGTCACTCACTGTGCCATGTTAACCTCGCCTATGTCCACATACCAGTTTAAAAACTTGTTATTCCAATTACCATTTTTCTGAATGATTGTCATTACTAGATTACCACCATTTCGCAAGAATGCAGTCGTTTTACAATTCCTTGAATCTAATCTGCATGTAAACCTGTATATAAAATGATTCATTTCCACAATTTACACCTGTCAACATGTGTATACATAACAAAAATATCTCCAAAAGGTACCATGTCATTGTACGTTATTTCTAAATGAAGGCGAGCAAAATGTTCAAACTTTTGCTCTTAAGAAGAAAAAACAATTTTAAGTTTGTGTTGATAACAAGAACTGATTTACTATTTATGTGCGTTGTTCAGAGAGAAAAATGAAATGAAACGGCCTCTTGGAATGGAGTGGTTTAGGTGAGTAAGTATAATTTTGTGCCTGTGAGCTGCTTGATGTGGAACACACTTACCCAGGGGTGATTTGCTCTCAAAGCACACCTCAAACATGTCATAGTCCTCTGTGGTGAACGCAAACTTTCCTTTTGTTGCATCTTCCTTGGAGTAAAGAGTGTGACTGGAGGAATCTGTGATCTGCAAAGAAAATGAAGTAATTCAAACATGAACCTGAGTGATAAATGAACAGAAACCTTATCCACAGTAATGTGTGAATCAGACTTTTGTAAAGAAACAAAGCCTAAGAAAACAAGTTGATCAATTCTCTGGTTCCATCACCTCAAGTGTGAGGACTTGCTGCTCGTCTCTGTTTTAAATAACAGTAAAAGGAAGACATTGACTTAATATCTGACATTTTGCAGATTCAACTATCATCTGCAAAAGTAAATAACCACTCTCAGCAGCGATTAACTGCAACATGCTAATAATTACCTTTATAATAACATTGCTGTGTGTTTGACAGCTGCTACGATAAAGAGACTATTTCACAAAACATGTGAATCCTCTCTCGCACTGGGCTGTGATGGGTTAGCATGAATGTGAGGACACACTCTCTGTGTGTGATGTATGTTAGCACCATGCTTATTGAAGTAACGTGACACATTGCTGTCGTTGACGTGTTAGCCGCGAATGTGCTAACGCCGCTAGCTTTGTGTCTTCCAGCCCAATGGACGGTTAAGACTGACGTGTAACAGCAGCGGAGCCGAACACATGTCACCGCCAACCTCCGCGTCCAATAAAACAAAACACACAAGTGGGATATGAACAAACACAAAGCGCTGCTTAACACGTTCACTTGTGTCAGACAAGTTTGACTTTATGTCAAAGGGGAAATTTCACCAAGCCATCCGGGGCGCTGATGTTAGCATCGACGTTAGCCGGCTAGTTAGCTACCAAAACCCAGGAAGACGAGTTTTTTCCGGGCCTAGCCTAGCCGCCAGATGCTAACAACAGTTGTCCCAGATTTCAGCCTCGCTCGATCAGCTGAGACCGGTCAGTGGATTCCACCGGTGAGCGCTGGTTCAGCTACACAGACGTTCACAGACGGAAGCCGCCTCGGCCTCTGCTGTTAGCCGCAGCTCCAGCCGCAGGTTGTGTGCTCACCTTCAGATTAGTTTTGGTGTTCGGCTGCTCGGTTATTTCATACTCCCCCGTCACCAGCACGTCTTTGTGGATCTCCTCCCGTAAACACTTCCTCGAGTTGACCGGTAGAAAGAACGAGATGGAGTGAACGGATTCAAAAAGAACCGGTAGCAGCAGCAGCAGCGCAGCGAGTCGAGCCATGGCTACTACCGTCAACCGAGCGACCAACCAGCCCGTGCCAGCAGCTTAATGCCGAGCTCCAACTCACACTACCGGTCCCAGCAGAGCGATCCAGCGCCGCCGCCGGTCTGGAGGACGAGCTGCGGTCCGACCAGCCCGACCTGAGGTTATGCTGAGGTCACACTGTTGGTGAAAACCTGTTTGTGTGCACGTGTGGCAGGTTTTACACTTTAGATCAGCTTTGACCTGCAGTGTGACTCAAACCTTCAGGGTAAATAAATACAGCGACACGTTCTGAGCTGTGAGGTTCAGGCGTCTGCTGCAAAACACAACGATGATTGTGATATTAGAGAAGGAAAAACAATATATTAACCTGGGACAATCTGACCTCATGTTTATACAAGACACAAAATGATGAAAGATTGTCAATTGTAAAAAAAATATTTTATAGTCTTGTTTCATGTGATATCATCTTTCTATCTTCTTTTTCTTATCATCTTTTATTGGTTTTTATCACCTTTCATTTTATTTATTGATCTATTTTTATTGTTCTTTTATTGTTTTTGAATTCCAACACTACTTTTACCACCTCAACATTGTTGTCTGGCTTTCTTGTCACATTTCATCCGGCCGACTGTTATATTTCCTGTATTGCTTTGCTGTCAAAGCACTTTGTAAACTCAGTTTTTAATGGTACTTTACAAATACAGTTTATTATTACTATAATTATTATTATTATAAATGTTACTTTTCACATGTACAACAATGTTGCATCATCATATGCAGCAGAGCTGGACAGCACACAGTGCAAACAGTCAATTGATGCAGTGGAAAGAAACATCATAAAGAAATGGAGGGTTTACCGATTAATGTTTAGATACATGAGAAGGTTTTTTTTTAGCTTTGTCAAAAGGTTAGAAATGTTTCACATGAAACCTGAACTGCCCAAAAGAAAAGGAAAGCTCAAGATTTTGCAAGACTCCAGCATGCAACAGGCGTTACGTCAATACATTTCTAACAGACAGGAACTGAAGATAATTTCACAATATAACTTTGGTAAAAATGCAACACTCCTGTTAGTAGAGCAAAGCTTCTGGTTTGATTATATTCAAGGTTCATAACATAGATGACCGCACATAAGGGACCTGGGGCCATCTAGTGGGTCAAACTGGTTCTGTTCTTTAGACTAAGCTTAGCATGTGTGTGGCACAGTGTGGGAAGAATTGCTTTAACATGGAAGTTTGTCCATCCATTATCTATACCTCGTATTGTTTGAGGGTCTCAGGCTTGAGCCAATCCCAGCAGACCAAGGATATATTGCCAGACCATGACAGGGCCGACACAAAGAGACAACCGATCATCCACACTCACATTCACAGTCTCCAGTTCTTCCAACATGCATGTCCTCAGGAGGAAGACTGAACCCATACAGGCACAACAAGGCCCTGACCTGGCAGGTTCAAACCCAGAACCATGGAAGTTCAATGTCATTCAATGGCTTCGACCTATTAAACAAAACTTAATTTAACTAGGGAGTTGTGATAGTAAAATACCTTTTTTAAATGAAGGATAAAGTGTTAAGTTGCTCTTTTGCAGGATCTTGACTCTAGTGAGGGAGCCATGTTCTTTATGACTGTGTGTTTTTTATTTAGACACAATTCTGCTGTTTGCCTTGTCAACTCTATTTGACAGCAAACAAACTGTAGCTGAGTGATGAAGGATTGATAAACTTCTATTATTGTACATATTTCAAACCTGGTCCAATAAAAGTATGTGATTACTGCTCCTGTTATATTAGAAATCTATTTGTTCCGTTCTCAACTTCTCATTGCTCGGTGATATTTATAGATTTTCATCTGTCTTTAATATCACCATAATTGCATAGTATCCATCCATTATGTGTGACTGGTAAATCTGGATTATGAAACAGACATATCATACTTTGTGTTGGCTGGGGTCTTTTTGAAAATCCCAAAAGCTATTATTTTTCTGTCAGCAGCTCGAGGATTACCCAATTACAGATGATAGGGCCGTCCGGTTTCCAGGGAAACATCCTTGTTCCTGATCCTATGAGATGAGACGAGAACATGCCGCTGACTGGGGAGTCTGACGGTAAGTGAACAGTAATTATTGGATGGAGTAATCCCTCAAGTATTGTTGCCTAGTGCTTCAAAAAACCTCTTAAAAATAGTGTGCTGCGCACTCCTCCATGCTACAGACTAAAAATAAAATCCACAAAACTTGACATTCATTAACAGTAATTGTGTCTAATCTGCATTTTCACATGCTTTAAATACACTGAAATATAAAATCACAACTGTCTTTTAAACCTTACAAGGTCTAAAACCATTTTTCATTCACAGATTCATAGTGGATTAAACATTTCAAGTGATGAGACGCAGACCGGAAGCTTCTTGTAAAACTGCTTTAATGATGCAACAATTGATTGACTAACCTTTTAATCTCTTCTGGGCACTGGTTCAGCATTGTGTGTGTGTGTGTGTGTGTGTGTGTTGTCTGACACAAGTGTCAACACACCCTGTAACTGTCACTCTCTGACTTACACTTGATATCACTTCTACGTGCAATTCTAAAGCAGAAATTTCACTATACTTATCAGCCAGACTGATGTTAAACACAAGACTGATTTGTGACACATGAACACACAGAGGGTGCAGTAGAAACCCTGTTTTACAGGATACTGTGTCAGATGGAGTCACTCATGATGGTCAAACACTGAAAGGAACATATAAGAACAGATGTACAATAGAATATAGACAGAGTGTAATTTAGCATCACAGTATGACTCTATCACTCTCGGCCACATGGGAAAAAATTGGGTTTCCTAAATCTTCTGTATTCATGTCTCGACAAAAGAAAAGGTACCAGGGGATTGACTCTCTGTGAATATGGAGCCGAGCCAGACTGACTCCTCGTCGTCGTGGCACTGAGGCGAACTTGCCTGTTTCATCATCACTGTGCTCACAATTAGACCTGGGGAGGATCTCTCTCTCTCTCTCTCTCTGTTTCTGTCTGTCTGCCTCCTTCTCTCCCTGCTTCCCTCATACACACATCATCTTCTCTTCTTCCTCCCACTCTCTCCTCTCGCTTCAGTTTCCTCCTCTCTTTCTATCAGGCGCACGCTGCTGCCTGGTTCCTCCCCTGGGTCGCAGCAACGACGCAGGTTGGCGTCATAGTGGTCTAATTTTACTGCTGTTGATGCTGATGTTAAAAGAAGCAATAGGCACCTGCTATTTCTGCTGCTACCCCATCTCCCTGTGGCCGGCGAGAAAGGTATTAATAGACAGAGTTATTAGGCCCTGCATGGTCGCACTTAGAGGCTTTATTGAGGAAAAAGAGTCTCTGCTTAAGTGCAATGGAAACAAGACAGGTACTCAGAATTCAGCTGTTATGCAACCACGACAGTGCTGATGAAACAACAGTTTAAATCCTAACAAAGGAGGCAGCTTTGTTCTAGTGTAACGTGAATTCTTTAAATTCTATCAAATATTTGAATCTCTTGATTTCGAAGTTCTCTGGAAGAGTGGGTCAACAGGAAGCAGAGTGACAAGGACTGATATCCAGGCTGTGTTGCACAAAAAGGGTGTGTCCACTGGGAGGGCACCAACGTCAGAATGTCAGTTATTGCAAGATGATTGACTTCCATCCAGAAGTCACACACACACCCACACACTAAACCTAACCCAAACCCTAACTTAACCTTAAAAACTGTTTTTTTCCCCTCATTGTGCCACTGTGGAAACAGTTTTAGGTCCTCACAACATGAGTAATACCTGGACCACACACCCGCAAACACTCCCTGTGTAAAACCATGAAGCAATCTATTATCAAATTCATCTTTATATGATGCAATGTTGATAGAAGTTGACATGAGCCAGTGAGGTAAAGTAATGACAAGTAGAAGGGAGTGGCTGGGAGGATTTTTCTCTTGAATCACAAAATAGGTGAAAAATTCTGCCAAGTGTATTTCAAACGGCCAAATCATGAAATCAGCTCATAAGTGGTTAGCAACAACGTCATTTAGTTTAATATGAAATTATATGACTACTGTGTTAGTGATGTCTGCATGTTTGCAGATATTTCTTCTGAGTCACACTTTTTTGTTGAGAAAAGATGGAAGAAACATGTTTACATAAGTGTACACACATAGACGGATGCGTGTAACTTACAGGATTAACCTCACATATACCTGAGGATACAAGTTGAAATGAAGAACCCAAACAATGTTAAAACCCATCACTTAAATTAGGTTTTTAAAACTCAATAATTAAGATGTCAAGGTGAAGAAGAAGAGTTGTGTTCACTTAGTTTTTTTATGCGCTGCCATTAAAACAGCAGAAGCAACAGGCATTTTGAAACTACCTTGATGGTTTAAATCGGCCTTATCGCTCAAGCCATTAAATAAAGGTCAATAAACTGTCTCATATAAAATGGTGCATCATGAGTTCATTATATGGTTCTGGGTAAAAAGAGTTGAACAACTCATCAGACATTTATTGTTAATTACCTAAACCAAGGAGCTAACGTCTGGTTGTTGATTTGTTTGATTTTGAGCGAGAATATACAAAAACTACAAGACGGATTACGATTAAACTTGGTGGAATGGTGTAGTATGGTGTAGAGAAGAGTTCATTCAATTTAGGTGTGGATCCAGAAATGTTCTTTTCTGTTCTTTAACAGTGGGCATTTAATCCAACATTTTCCTTGATTTCTCATGGAATAGTTCATGGATCTCGGTGAAAGAAATCAGGCACATTTAATGAGCTGATATCTGTGAGTGTGTGAATTTGAAGCAGAGTGATTGAATTTAAGGAGGTATCATTACTGCAGTAGCAACCAATACAAAAAATATAACATAGCTAGACTATTTGAGACTCCTGTTTCTAGATCACCACCTTCCAAATGATATTTTTCCATGTGACCTCTTCATCAAACGAGACATTCTGATGTGATGTTGACGTCTTTACACCTCTGCTCCAGCTGGCTGCTTGTTCTCGTCCATTTGCAAGAACGGCGAATGTTTGTTGAGTCCAGACTGTGCTGTCTGTGCCTGTCATGCATTATTACTGAGGACACAGGGTTTCACGTGGGAAGTGATATTCAGAGATCACAGAGGCAAATGAA